CTGCTCTCTCGGGCTCTCGACTGATTAAATCCCAAAGATGGCCAGGGCTGGCCCTTCCTTCCTGGGCACAGATTCAGACTCCCCTCTGAAGGTCCCTCGGAGATGTGCCTGGGGCTGGGGGTGCCCCAGCCTCCAGGGCTTTCCCACAGGGCCCGGGGCCCGAACCGCCTGCTGGGGAGTGCAGCCCAGCCCTGCATACCTGCCCCTGCACTGCCTGCCAAGAGCCTCACACAGGCATCCACTTCTGCTGGGAGCCATGGCCGTCAAAACACGCAAAAGCAAGACTTTTTGCACAGTATCACATGTTGCTTAATGTTTGGACACTGATATTTTCTCCAGCTGGGTTTTTCTTAATTTAAGTCAACAAACCAATCTGGAAGCAAACATATTGCTCGTGTTTGGGAACCAAACAGAAGTGACGTGTAGCGGGAGACTTAAGGAAAGCCTCAGGTGTGTGTGTGTGCGGTGGTGTGCCCGCCGGGGGGGGGGGGTTGGACTCCACCTCTGAGAGGCAAGGAAAGAGGGGAGACAAAGTCCCTGGCCTCTCTCCTGTGCCCCTCGCACCCCTCGCCCCAGGAAGGGTGTGCGTGGGCAGGAACCACACATACGAGGAAAAGCCGTGCAGAGCGATCCCCAGGATGGCTGGCAGCCAGCAGAGTCATTTCCGCCCCAGTGGCACCAGAGTTCACAATGACGAGGGCACTGAAGCTCCTTGTCACGTCCTCAGACGCGGGGCCCCTGGTCCGGCCGAGCACCGACACCCACAGACGAGCTCTGCTCACCAGGAACCCAGGAAGGCAGCTCAGAACAGGGTGCTGAACACGAGGCTCTGTGAAGGTGCCCTATGACCCCAGTGCCACATTTTTCGTGATCGATCTTAACTAGCGTCCATGCGGAATCTTCTTCTTGTGGCTTTTTTCCATGAAAAAACACTGAGACAACTTTAAAGACTCGTTAACGACGTCCTTTCATCAGGCTGGTCTCTGTATCCCGCAGCGCCTTGCTGTCCGGGCCCCTGGCCTGCGCCTCGCCCCCCAGCCCGCGGAGCCGGCCGGCTGATGGAGGCCAGACGTGCTCGTCTGTCGGCAGCTGGAGCCACGGCGTCCGCGGACCCTGCACAGCTGCCCTCAGCCGCTCACAGACGTGTCGGGACCTGCACTTTCTCCAGGCTCTGGGCCTGCCTTTCAACTGTCACCCCCTTTCCTTCAGACAGACGGACGGACAGACAGCCAGGGGCTGCATGGCAGGGTTTCGTTTAAATCTCCACGTCTTTCAAACTGATAACGGGCAAAATTGATGTGAACTTCAGTTTCCTAAACACAAACTCTCCATCAAACGCTGGCGAACGAGAAAGCAACTGCACACGGGCCAAAGGAGACCAAGCCAAGTTAAATCCCCCTCTGTGACCCCACGGCCGGCACAGCAGCAAGAAAACACGCAAAGGACGCACTGGGACGCCCAGACACATGGTGGCTCTCGGACCACGGAGAAGGCCTTAGTTTCCCGCCCTTATAGGACAGTGTTCTGAGTGAAATAAACTCTTTCTGTGTGTCCCACGTGAAGTCATTTGTCACGTCAGAGTCCTCTGTGTGCGGCCTGAAACCCAAATCGCACAAAGACCTCCGGCAAGCTCTGAACAGTCTTCACGTCGATTCGGCCGTGACGTCCCACCTGCTCCAACCGTGGCCGAGGCTGGGGCCGGCGCGACCGCCCGTGGTCATGGCTGTGGGTGCCGATGGCAGGAGACATGGCCAGCAGTGCCCGCCTGCCCCTGCCGGGCCCACAGCAGGGAGGACAAGGACATCTGGAGCAGCACGCAGACCCCGCTGGGACCCGCTGGATCGAGCCACCACTTAGGTTTTGAAGCAACCCCCTTGAACAGGGTTTTGTTCCCATATTACAGTTTTGAAGGAAGTTCTGGGACAACGTTGTTGTTCATGACCGGGTTAAACGATGGTTTTGACATAAACACACCTGCACTCGACACGCCTGGCCACCCAAAAGAGGCGACTGTGTGAGCACGCTGTGTGCAGACAGGAGACTTGGAAGAAAACTTGTTCCCAAAGACATTTGGGTTAGAAACGGCTTCAGTCTCTCTAGGTTGTTCAATCAACGCTTCTGCTAAGAAGCAGCCAAGGATTAAAAGCCCCAACTAAGTCGCTTGCAAGGTGAGCTTACCTGCGTTGTCCAGAATGGGCCCTGCCCGCACCCTTTGTATCTAGAACTGGGAGCAGCCGACCCACGTGGTCTGCGGCTCTGTCTTCTGCCATATCCCCTCCAGCCCCTGCCCGCACAAGACACCGCGAGGTTTCTTCTCTGGTCACAACGGCGGCAGACCCGTGCTGTCACTTCGGACCTCGATGCAGCCAGAGGACGCGGTGGACGACGGTGGGCTTACCTGGGGCTTCTCCACACGGAAAAGGCACCGGAGAACACAGCCACCCGTTGGAAACCTCGGCTCCTGCGTGGCCAAGGGCATCCGTACCATATGCACGTGGTTCCGCAACAACAACCGTTTTCTCCAAACCTTTCATCGTCCTGGTCTCTGGAAACGGGGGAGAACAGCAAGCAACGGCCGCTGCCCGGAGCCAGCTGTCCCGCCCCCGTGGGTCTCCGTGTCTGCGTTCAAAGTACCATGCGCCACGTTAGTGCAGGGGACCCGAGGCTGAGGCTGAAGAACACGACTAATTCTTGTTTCCACATTTCTTTTTATTTGGAAAGTATTTTTGTGTTTCTTTGTGCCTTTCCTTTTCCTCCTTATTTCCATAAGCCGCACTGCAACCTTGAGCAGCAGTGGCTCTAGGCGACCGTGCTGGCTTTTCATGTGGGCCCCTGCACAGCTTGTCCTTGGAGGGGTACACGGCCGTGCCTCTGTCAGCGGGAACCTCGGGGCATCTATCAGGCCCGTTCTGACAGGGCCGAGGAAGCCCTGGGAGGCAGAAAACGGGATGCGGTCTGTACTGCACCAAGGGCACGGCCCAAGCAGGCGGTGCCAGGCCACGAGGGGCTGCGGGGTCACCTCGGTCTGCTCTGACGGGCGGGTCCCCGGCCGCAAGTGGCCGAGCCCCGCCGGGGACGTGGGCCTTGTAGGCACGCCCGCGTGTGGCCGTCCGACTCAGGAACCCTCCCTGGGAGCCCACCCGGGGACCTGGGGATGGGTGGGAGGCATGCGGCGTGTCAGGGACCCACACCTTCCTGGCCTGGGAGGTGGCTGGGGTGCACGGCATGCGGGCGGCACGGGACACGCGGAGCATTGCCAGGGTCTGCCGGCAGCACCGATGACGGCACGCCGCGCTCCGCGGGACCGGCACAGAGCCGATCGCAGAGCTCCCTCTGCCCCACTCTCGAGTCCGTCCTCAGACAGACGTGGCGACTGGGGGTCTCCCGACCGCAGCCTAGTGCACTGCTATGGTGCCCTCTATTGGAAGGCACTCGGACGAAACCCACACCCGGGCCGGCGAGGCCAGAGCTGCTGCCTGTGAGGACCACGGTTTTCCGGCCCGTTCAGGGCAGAGCACGACCGCATTTCTTGGTGACCGTCAGTTCCTGGAGAAAAGCATTTTCCTCACAGAATTTACAACACAACCACTTCCGCAGTCCCCAATGCAAAGCGCACCCCGGACCCCCACTCGCCTTCCCAACACGTCAGAAACAACAAACGGGCCCCTCTGCTCGCACACGGAGACGCCGGGAGGGCGTGCTTACAGCTGTCGAAGCTTGCCAAGGGGCTCGGCGAAGCAAGGTGGCCCCGCGGCCTGTCCGGAAATCAGACCTCCACGTGGCCACCGCGGGTGCCGGACGGCGGGCTTTGAGACAGCAGCGGGGAGAAGGATGGAAATCAGAAGGTGATGCAGTAATGGTCCTACCACTTTATTTTTGGGGGGAAAGACCCAGAATTTGGTTGACATAATAAAAGGATATAACAAATTGCAAATTGGTGAGAAAAGCCTAAAGTCTGTTTACATCAGGCACCGTTCCTTTACCGGCGTTAAGGTAACGTGGAATTTAAAATACGCCCAAACCATGCGCATTACAGGCTGTATATTCACCCAGGCTCTCGGTGACACATACAAAGCACCTGAGCTTCCCTGCTGGGGTTTGAGTTGTCACAGGAACCCCTGACAAAAATACAGCTCTCTCCTGCACAGTGGGGTGGAGTTTATTTTCTCCATACATCATACGCTCTATTCTTATTTATCCACATGCATAGCTAGCTGCAAGTTTCCCTCGTGTTTCTCAGGTACGGTTAATTATAAAGAGAAAATGACAACGCGAAAATGAAGCATCGGACGGTGGCACTTGGTTGGAAACACTCTTCTCTGCTGCCAGCGACAGGAGCAGATCCCCCCTTCTTGTGTGACCTCTGACTCTTAGGCTCTATCGTCACCTTCCATTTGGAGCGCACAAAGGTCAGCAGCGGCAGGAGAGGGGCTAGGGCCCGAGGAAGACCCTCCACCCTCCGCCCTCGGGAAGGAGCCATTTCGACCAAACTCATCTCAAGGAGCTACTCCTTTTCCCAAATCACTTTGGTAAGTGGTTCGTTTCCATTCAACCGATACAACCCAAAGTGTGTGCATCCTGCACTGGTTTTCTGGCGGTGAGAAGAACATCGCTAGAAAACCTCCATGAGCACTGGTTTCCGCGGCCGGGCCTCCCTCAGGAAGGCCTGAGCGGGAGACACCGTCCCGGCAGCCTCAATGGCTAAGCAGAGAGGGGAGCCGGGGAGGCCAGCTTCTCAGGGGGACAGGCCTGCGTCAGGGGGGCCAGGGCCCTGGCGGGTGCCGGATGCTCCCACCTGCCCGGACGGTGGCTCTCAGGCTTGCCGGGCCCCCCACTTTCTTACCCCTGTGTTAACAGACATTAGAAATGGAACGACGACGGTGTGAGAGAGAAACAAACGATGAACAGCGGCCAGTCCTCTGAACTCATTCTGCCGTAAAATGTGGAAACAAGAAAAGGCACACACGCTATGTCCCCCAGGACACGTTCAGTTCTTTTAATACCGCACAGACCACCTCCAATGTGCTAGAACCTTTATGTGTCACTCAAGTATTTACTCCCACAAGTCCTCCGTTCCGCCAGCAGGCTGGGGGCGGGGGATGCCACCCCCACGGGAGCCTCCCGGACAGCTCGGCTTCTCTGCCAGGCGGCCCTCGTGGGCGAGAAGCCACTCCTTTGTGGCCCGGCCTGCGGAGTAGTTGCCCACGGCTCCACTGCTGCAGACCACTCTGTGGCACGGGATGAGGATGGGAAGCTGCAAGACAGAGAGGCGACCCTGTCAGTCTGGGCTCGGGGCCCGCAAGGTCTCTCGGCATCCAGAGCAAGGCCCTTGACCACAGTGATGTGCAGGCCCCCGGCTGGCCGCCTCGGCGCTGTGCACCCCTTGGTCTCTGGGGGTCTCGGCACGGGCCGAGGACGGACACGACACTCCAAGGCAAATGAACGGCGTTTTCCAGAGAATCCCTTCATACCAACGTTTGGAAGGAGAAAACTGTCTTTGGTAAGTAATTTGCGGCGTATGTTTACAAATTTCAAAATCACATTTCCAAGTTACGGGGCGGTAGGTAAAATTTGCAAACGTTTCGAGAAGTGACAGGAACCTTCAGGGAAGACCATACTCATGCAAGGCACTGGAAAAATGTGGCAAACTGGCACAGTTCCTACCTGCTTTTGTAAATAAAGTTTTACTGGAACACAGCCATGTTGTCTGGGGCTGCTGTTGCAGAACAAAGTATTTACTACCAGGCCCTTCATAGGGAAGGTTTGCTGACCTGCTTCATGCTCTGCATTGCACTGGGAGTGCGTCTCCCTTCCTTAATCCCGGGATACTTGGAAGTTTGAGAAACTCTAGTCCTCGTCTGTTCTCACCTGAGCAGCCGCTGCCACCATCTGGCCCCTGGATACCTGGACTGGGACAGGCTGTCCAACAGCATCCCTGAGGACTCGAGACCCGGGGCCATGCCCACCTGCAGCCCTCCCCAGGGCACTGGGGCCTCCCTGTGCACCCACCTCTGGAGACAGACGGAGGAGTCAGGTGCTTAATCAACACAACGACTTCACTAAAAGCAAGACCACCTCATGATGAAAATCCAAATACAATCCTACAAAGAGAAGCCAACCCACCGTTAAAAGGACCCACTGCCAGGACCAGGGACGGTGACGGCTGTCTGGGTGCCGTGCATCACTGGGACACACCAGGAAACGGAAGTGAGGGCTGGGCTCTGTGTGCCCAGGGCCTTCGCCAAACCCTGCCAATCCAACTTACCGGCAGCTCGACATGCTGCGATACTAGTCCCGGAGGAAGGCAGGCTGGCCTGCAGCCCCGGAGGAGGAGGGCCCACATCGCAGGCAGGTCTTCCTACCACACCCTGATGCCCCAAGGACAGGACACTTCCCCCCGTGCCCTGCAGTCCTTCTGCCCTTGCCTGGGGCCAGCACAGGACAGACCCATGGGTATCTGGTCCTCCACATCCCAAACTGGATACCAGAGCTCACAGGTCCTGGATTCGAGTCGGGACCACGGTCACATGGGTGGTTCGTTATTCCTGCAGCCACACGCAGGCCAACAATCCCACCTAACACACTCCCTGTAGTCAATTCTCCCAGCAGAGAAGACCTCTGTCCTCCCCAAGGGTAGGGGGGTCCCTTTCAGCAGTGGTCCCCAGGGGAGCGCCTGGGTCGTCCCGCCACTGGTCTGGGCTGCACTGACAGGAGCTCTAGGGATGTCCGCTGGCAGACCTGCTCAGGGTCTGTTCTCAGGACGGAGTCCACTGTGGAGGGTGGGCACAGTGCGCCTTGCCCCTGCTTTTGATTTCCATGGGGTGGGACACCCACCGGAAGAAGGGACCCGCCACCGCATCCTTTACCCCCGGCCTGAGGCGGGGAGGACTCCCTGACCAGCCGTCCTGGGACGAAGGCACGGGAATGCCCGGCACCAGGTGGGGTCCTGCGAGGGGACCTGTCTGCCCCGCAGCACAGATGTCATCAGCACCTGCCTCTGCTGGGGCTGGTAACAGGGAAGGGGGGCTCATTCCAGCCAGAATTCCTGGGAAGCCCACTGTGGCCACAGCACGTCTTGAGTTGAGCTTTTATTTGAATAAAGCTAATACCCTGCTGTCCTTTATCCACTGCACAGCTGGCCCAGGACACAGGAGGAAAAGAAAGGGAAGGAGCTTACGCCCCTTAAAGCCAGAGTGGACAGGGGCCTGTCTCAAGTTGCTGCCCTCGCCTCCCTGGTGGCCAGTGGGCACTATTTAGAGCATGCCAACTGCAGGGGGCACACCGTGTTCCCACAGTGGGGGCTCTGGGGGATGAATGGTCATTTTGCTTAAAGGCCCCGACAAGCAGTTACTCAGAACCCAAGACTTCCCAGGACAGGACATCTGGTAGATTCTCAGCAGAGTTCAAACCTCTCAGGAGATGGTCTGCCCAGGGGTCCTGGGTAAAACAGCCCTCATTCCTAAGTGGCTGCATCTTGACTGGGGTGCAGGGACGTGGGTGGTCAGTCACGGAAGGCCCAGGACATGCTAGGGTGACGGTTCTCGTTGTTGTGCAGATCACAGCAGTGCTCCATGAACAGCCAGCCAGCACAGCTATAGGAACTGGCCCCGCTCTGGAGACAGACCCTCAGAGGACCCCACCCTGGAAGGGAGCCGGGTGGTACCCAGGGACCGCTCAGCTCCCATCCTGCCTCACCTCCTGAAGCCCCAGACCTGCTGTCCCCAGCCCCTCTCCGTGCACTCACATGTGGCTGTCATGCTCCAAATGTCCTGCAAGGAAAAACGGCCACTCCTGCAGGGCCCTGAAGGGTGAGAGTTTCTCAGAATCCCTCTACTAAGTCTGCAGCTCAACAGAGAGAAGATTCACGTCTCCTACCCCCAAGCTCCAACTCCAAAGACCCGAAATGGACAAAGCGACTAGCGACCAGCCACCCGTCAGCTGAGTTTCTAGGAAAGTGGCTGAACACACGTACCTGGGGTCTCTTCTCATGGCGTCTAGCCGCCCTGTGGCCGTGCACCCACCTCAGCCCGTCACACAAAACGACCCGCCTAGAGTGCCCCCCAGTAGGCCCCGAGCCACACCTGTCTCTGGGCAGAGGGCACAGTCCCCAGTCCCATCCCGGACCCAGCACTCAACGACACCACCAGGAAGAACGTGGCCTGTGCCCGCTGTGGCACATCACACAGCCTCCAACAAGCCTCAGGCCAGGCACGGTCAGCCTTGGGTTACATTTCCTGCCCAAGTTCCCACGGCAGTTTAGGGGCAAGGAGGGGAGTCCAGCCCAGCGGGGGCGGAACCCGGCGCCTGCACATGGCCTCTCCACCAGCTGCCCGAGGGGGATCGCTGGCCTTGTGGGTAACCTGGCTCGGATGCTGAGAACGTAACTTCTCCCGCATCACAAACCAGTCCCTATTCCGACTGCAAGTTTGGGTTGCCATGGGAACGCATGCAGTCTCAGGGGATCTAAGGACAAGTCTCAGGGTCAGGGCGGGTCTGGGGAGAGCTGGCTTCCCGTCTGTGCCATTTCACACACCGGGAAAGTGCCCGCTGCCGCCCCGTCCCGCAAGCAGCCAACCATCCCCGTCATCTTGGGGGGAGAATCACAACATTTCAAGTCTGGAATATTGACTTTGATTGAGGGTTTTTATCAAATACAATAAACAGTCACATTAATAATTGCTTCGAGGACACAACAACGTGAAACTCAAGTTTTGACCGATAAAGATTCGAGCTAGTTTCACAGATGTTTTTAGGTACCGATTCAATTTCCCCACCCAACGCTGACTTCACGGGCGGGCTCTGATTTTCCTCCCTGCTCCGTGTGTCCCACAGACCACAGCCCTACTCCCGTGGAAAGGCAGCGACGGCCACCGCCCCGGCCAGGCTTCATCTTGGGCAGCAACTGCGGGACAGCAGGTCGCTTGCCAAAGACGCACGATTTTTACACAAGAGGCAGGGAGCACCGCTTCTGTCCGTGTTGACTTTGGTGGCGGATCTCAGACGACGAAAACAACCAAGGCCGCCAAAATGTATTTGCGCCCTATGGACATTGCAAAGGATCCATACCCTCTACACCCTCTTCTTGAAAGCCTGTACTGCATAAAATGTAATTTTTATCAATAACCAAGCAGCTCATAATATCACAGCTGCATTGAAATCTTCACGCTGTGAAATCTAATTCATCCAATACTGAATCCATCACTTACACAGACTGTTTCTCAAGTGCTATAAAACTTCCAAACCCATAGATTTGTCTCCAACAAAAATAACACGAAGGGGCCTTTCAATCAATAATGGAATCCCTCTGATTCTGGTGCTGGCTGAATATTTTTTCCAACTTCGCCTTTGTTCTTGTGGTAGCAGCCCACAAGGGAGAGGGCTTGTTTTCACTCGCGGCCTCATCAATACCTAAATCCTGGTGAACAAGTGACACCGGGAAGCTGTAATCAATAGCTCCCTGTGCGTTTTTTTCTTCTGGTCAAATGGTTCAGCCCCACTGACAGCCCTGACACTTAGAACATGATGCTAAATCTTTATCAACAGCCATCTGGGTGACTGGCAGAACAAGACTCGGGGGGTCATTAACGCTCGTGGCAATCTGTGAATAAACTAACTCCTCAGGAATGCGTTTGTTTAGAAAAAAGTGGGGAAACTCTCTGTGCGATGTATTGATCGCCTCTGAACTGCATTTAGCAAATTCTGTCTGAGGATGAGCGGAAGGGTGCTCTTGTGGGGGAGGGCCACGAGGCGTCTCCAGACTCACCTACAGGAGGCTGACCATCCTCCGTGGTGAATGAGTGGGGGGAGGGGAGGGCGCACCTTCCAGAAGGCTGCCGAACCGTCTTACGTAGGCTAGTGAGTCCTCTGTGGAAAACCTGGAAAACCGAGCACTTAGGAAGGGACCAAACCCCCACACGGCAGCAAGCAACCCTTCCTCTGGTGGGGAAGAGAAGCCCGCCCCGCAGCAAGGGCTGCAGTACGAGCCAGCTCGTGTTCGCGTTTATCGCAAGCCACCTAAGGAATGAGTGCACAACGAGCTCCGTGGTGTTCTGCCACATTCCAAACCCATTTTTTTACTCTCCTTCCCAAAAGGTACAATTGCTCTACTCAGCCTAAACTGAGAGAGATTTTCAACGAGCAGCTCTCAGCGATGCTCTGTCGGTGCTGGAGCTGATGCGTGGCGCTCCGCGTTGGGCCTTGTGCTGCCAGCACCAAGGAAAGGGGGCACCCACGTGGGGCAGCCACATCAGTCGTGGCAGGTTCCTGGGTCACCTCTTGGACGCCCCAGCCCATTCCAAGGAGGTTTTAGATCAACTTTACGGGAACCCCGTGAGGACCGCAGAGCTCCCTGGGAGGCTGAGCAGAAGTTGGCTACACCTTCGAAGTTTTTCTCGCAGGCGCACCTGTGGCATGTCGGCACCAGGCCTGGAAGCCCTGCTCCGCCCTGCAGCTGCCGGCATCTCCACAACCGCCTTGCGTGGACGGTCCCCGCATGGGTTACGTGCGGCGCCTGACAACAGAGGGACACGTGGCCAGGCCCCGAGGGCTCGTGGCCTGGCTCGTGCCTGGATGCTCGTGGCACAGGACAGCGCCAAGAGGAGGGACCAGGCGCTTGCTTGGTCCTCATGCCTGATGTCGTCGCTGCCATTCTTGACCTGGGCACGAGGCGGGGAAGTCAATACGTTGACTTTACGGACATTAGAGATTTAAGCCTTGGGAGATCCTATTTTATAAATTTCAGTGACTGAGGCCACAGTTGAAGAGAGATGTTCATCGAGATTAATAGCAAGAGAAGAGAGTCATGCTGGTTGCAGAACAATAAATGTTTCTGAATATTGCCAGGAGCGTGATCGCTGAACAGTGACGGCACGTCCCTCTCAGAGAGTGAGAAACTGCTGTCATCACACAGAAGGCAGGTGCGGGGCTACGGATGCGTGCCGTCCGTTAGCAACGCTTGTTCTCGGAGCAGAGGCGGGCGGCAGCCACGCCCGGGGCCGCGACGGTGGCACCCACCTGCTGCGTCACACGGTGGGAGTCAAGTCAAGCCTCCGTGAGCAGCGTGGGTGACCGACTCTACACACAGGGCACGGAGAGCAGAAATGGGGCCCAGGACACGGATGAAGATCTGGGACAAAGGGAGGATGTCCACAGGATGCCACGACCGCAGTGGGGGGAGGGGGGGAAGGGGACGGGACAGGCAGAGCCCGGCCAGCTTCTGACGTCCTTCTCACAAGGCGCGAAACGGAGCCCGGATACCACGGTGTCCCAGCCGTCTTTCTATCCAGAGCACGGTCCAACTGCTCAACGTGGAGATACAACCTGGGAGAAGGCGGTGGCCTTTCCGAGGAACGATGCGGGTCAAAGTTTGTCAGAAGTGTAAAAAATCATGCTCATAAACCTGATTCCGAGTCATCCTGTGTGCATGGTCAGCGTGTACACCCACAGAGTGTGGAGGGGGTGGACTCTGAAGACGCAGCTGGGCACGTGGCAGCGAAAACACAACAGGACACCCGCTGGGCTCAGCGGCCACGGCCGCCGAGGACTCTAGATGGGGAGATGCGGGCTGGGTGCGATGTGTCGTCCACATCACACGCTGCTCGGACAATCGGATTTTAACAAGGCAGAGAGCTCTTCTCCAGATCAGACATGCGTCAAGACAGTGCGATCCACTGCAATCCTCTACGAGCTGCTGCTTAAACCAAACAAGGCCGTGTTGTGCGGAAAGCTGGGTAATCGCCGTCTCCTAGAGATGCCGGGCTCTGAACAAGGGCAGTCGGTGCCAACTGGCAAGAGCGGCGGGTTGGGGTGTGTGAACGCCCGCCTCGCCCGGGTCAACGGGGATGAAGAGAATTTTGAGGACACACAGCAAAGCTACAGCCATTTTCAAAGGAGGGAGGTCTGTCTGATGTAGTAACTCCTCCCCCGGGATGTGCTGGTTCTATTTCCTCATCCTGACAGCATGGCACGCTTCTATCCTGTCGCAGACGTTCCCACCGCTTCGGGGAGAAACTGTTTCGAATGTGCTAGCAGGCCCCTGCCAGGCTCTGGACAGGCTGACAAGAAAGAACATTCCAGGCCTCACTCAGTTGTATGGGGTCGTCCTCCGGCAGACCTGGCTTTGGGGACAGGGGCGCCACGGCCTCTTCCCCAACTCACGTGGACTTCCGGAGACAGCATGGCCGGCGGCCCAGGTACGGGTATGACGGGGAGAAAGTGCCCTCTGTCCTACGGGGTACAACAGGCGTGCGGCCACCCCACACAGCCCATCCTCTGGGGAGCTCGGCGTGGCCTGGAGGGGATCTCCCTCTCAGCAAAACGCGACTACAGATGCACAGGGGGGACAAGGACATGAAAAGGTTGGGGTGAAGCCACCCCCTGGGGAAGACATGCCACCGTCACCACCAAAAATGGGGGGCAGGGGCCGCTCACCCCTCTTCTGGGGGCCCGTACAGATGCCTCCTCTCCTCTGCTCCCCACGCGGTGCCGCACAGGCCGCTTACACTGCAGGGCCCCGGCCCCCCCCACTCCCGCCGCCACCTGCGGCCCCGCTGACGCACCCGTCGGCAGCGACTTACAGGATTGGTCCTCATCGCTCCGCCCACTGCCCGCGCTGCTCGGGGCCTGCCTGCCAGGGCTGCTAATTGCCGGTAAGAAACCGTTTCTCCGAGTCTGACAACCTTCAGCAGCTTCCACAACACCTGTCTGGTGAACGAATCTGAAAGGCAGAATGCAGAATGACGTTATGTGGACAAGCGGCTCCCGCAGCTCTGATGTAGAAACCTGCCGGTCTTGAGACAGAAAGCACGTCAACACAAACAGAGGTGCTACAGTCAATTAAAATGCGGCCTCCACACACGGTCCCGTCACTGTGCGGGCTGGCCCCTACGCAGCCATCCCAACGCCACGCACCCCAGACCTGCAACCGCCCGCTGCGTCCCCGGGTCCCACGCAGGAAGGACCACGTGATGCTCTTCCAGGACTGGGGCACGCACACATTCGTGAGCCCAGAAGGCCCTGCCTGCCTACTGACTTCAGAACCTCTCAGACTGCTGGGTCACTGCCAACGTCAGCTGGGATACACAAGGAAAAAGGAGCCATGGGCCGGGCTGTGGTTTTATGCTAGGCGGCCACACCCAGCAGCGAGCAGACTCAGAATGCCAGACACCACGTACACGGGGCTGGCAGTGACCTTGGCTACAGGCATCTGCGATGCACAGGGCTGCAAAAATAAAATAACTTGATTCCCATTTTAATTGGCAAGCCACATCAAATCGCGCTTGCTCCTCACCTTGCTGTGGGAGTGAACAGGTGAATGCATGGGAACGTTCTCTCCCTCTGCCTCTAGCTTTGCAAGGGAGGCTGGTCTGAATCGATACCTATTGTCTTTCCAAAGGGAACGCAAGGCTCAGGAGCACTGGACACGGAGCTGTGTCCCCCACGGTGGGGGCACCGAGCCCTCCGGGGGCGGGAGTTCCCGATGGCAACGACAAAGGGAAGGCTTCCACGGGCAGCAGCGGTGTTCCGGAGTGTGTCCATAATAGCACTAATTACACTCGGTGCCAAGCTGGCAAAGTGCGATTTGGTTCTTAAAGGAAACACACCCTTACATGCGTTTTAAATAATAAAAATCACTTCTTAACTGAAGGGAATGATAATCACTTCGCTGGAAAAAAAAATCTGTTTAGTCTTTATTATAACATTAAGCAAATTAAACATCAGCATAATCCAGGTGATACTAGAACAGGGTCATCAAAGAAATTAACTTTGTTGTTCATTAATTTACATGGATTAGTAGAGGGCAAAAAGATAGCAAATGTGCTCTAGTTTTTTATGATATAATTTCAAACTGTACACCATTTGTGGCAGGAGGGTGACTTTGGGGTTAATCAGACTGATTTGTCCTTTTAATTGCTTTCTATTCAAAGAAAATTCATTAGATAATGTTCTCTTCAAAATTCATGAATCAATTTAACTGAAGAAACCACATTAACAGCTTTGGGTTCATTAGCACATGCAGTTGTGTTACTGGCTGATTGCTCGGAGGGTTTCCTTAGGCAAACACACTCTGTTTACTGTGGTTTCTTCAGAAAGGGTTTTGAAATCAAACTGTTCATCATGACTGCTGTTGCTGTTGTTATGCCTCACTTAAGAACAAACAAAAACACACCGAAAAACACAAACAAAAACACAACAAAAAGACAAGGAAGAAAGAGGCGGCAGGCCGCCTGGCAATAACTTGGGGAGAAGGCGATTTCAGGGCCGGAGGTCTTAGGAGAGAAACTGCGCGAAAGCAGTCGTGGAGACCGCAAGAAGCGGGGAGGCCTGTCTCCAGCCTTCCTTGTGCAGCACAGAGGGGTCGCTGTGTGTGTGTTCTGCTGGATGCCGCCCGGGCTTTCCAGAAGAAGAGCCCAGAACTTTCCCAAAGCCGTAGGACCATGAGGAGAGGCGCTCGTGCAAGCTCACCCGGGGGCGCAGGGCAGCTCCGAGAAGCCGCGGTGCCGCTCCAGCGCCTGCCTGTCCAGGTATTGTCCGTATGTGAGCACGGGGTTCATCAGACAGTTTCAGCTTCGCTGTCAATTTTTCATGGGAAATAATTTCTCACCCCATACACACCAGGCCGTGTATTAGGAAAAATAGCTCAAATAAGGCAATATTTAGGAATCAAGCAAGTCGTGTTATAAATGTATCTGAAAACCCAATTTCACCCTGTAGGGAGCAAATGCATTAATTAGTTGGAGCGGCACTCAGCGACAGTGTCTTTGACCCTGACCCGTGCAAAATCAGACCATGAAACTGCTCTTCTTTCCAGGAGGGGCACTGTCGGTTGTTAAATATCGTTCTAAAACGTAGTAAAACCTACTCATAAAAATTAACATACGCTGATGTGGAAGATCTATCTTCTGGAGGTAGAGGTGTCCACGTAAGTCCTCGGCGGCTGGGCCATCATTTCAGGTGGCCCAAAGGGCAGCCATTAGATGATCATCCTTTTCCCTCCCATTACGGTCTCCCTGGGGAGCGGGCATGACCCCAGAGCTGTGCGGAGCGGCCTCTGCCGGCCACATTCTGGATGCTCCTTTCCTTCACCCTCTCCTCCCCACCCTTTCTCCTGCCTCTTCTGGGGCCTGGGTACCACGAGCGGGGCCGTGTTCTGCTGTGGGGCCACCGTAGGCTCCGCTGGGGGCTGGCCTGCTTCTCTGCACTCTGCTCCCTTAAGGACACAGCCGTTTTTGTTTCCACGTGGGTGGCCACTTAAACATGCCCACCGGGAGCACCTACCCCATCCGAGACTGCTTTCTACATTGTCTCTAGCCGGACAGTATGTCATCAGTCTCCTAGGGGCTCACGATGGGGTTACCAATGGCCATGGAAGACGTCATTCTATGTCACGGACACCAGAATTTTATATGTGAGCTCTCTTCTTGCCACTTGCGGGAGCAGAGATCATGGCAGCCTTCACTGGTGTGCCTGCACTGACACAGCCAAGTGGGGCTCTGATGAGGGAGCCTACGCAGATACCATAGTCCTCACGTGCAACGGGAGGAACGGACTCAGGGGCCAAGGCAGACTCCAGGCTGCAGGGTCTTGGATGAGTTGCTTCCTTCCCCTGGGCCTCTGTCTCTTCCCCGGTGATGAACACCATCGCGAGAGCTCCCCGGACGGATGTGTCCTGCACCCCACCATGCACTGCTACGCTCGAGCACAGCTGCTCGGTGGCAGGGCTGGGCCTGGACATCAGGTCTCCTTAAGACCAAGGCTGCCTCCACCATCTCTTCTCCAGTAAGCAAGAACACCACGCTTCGGAGTTCTTTGGGTAGAATCATTCTTTCAAGGTGACTCTGCTGCAGGGTGTGGGTTCCTGAGGAAGGGCCGTCTCTCGGCTGCCCAGGCCCTCGGGCTCTCCACCACCAGGCAGCAGCTAGAGGGCACCCGCAGGTGCAGATGCATGGGTGTGCGCCAGCAGGTTAAGTATGCAAGTATTGTCTCTCTCTCCCTGAGGAGGGAGAAGGGTCTTCCGATGCTCTGAGCAGAGGAATCGCTCGCTTTCTGGTATTATCTCTGAACCCTTGCACCCTGGCCCCGAAGCAACCGGGATGCCCATGTCTCTTTCTGTCGGAAGCCGTCGTGGTCCCCGCTGGTGGGCAGGCCCCGGCTGCTTTCCTCCTCTTTGTCTTCTCAGTACTTGGCTCTGGACCTTGGTGCAGTTCTAGGAGGTGTGTATCTGAGTGGGGTAAGTAAGGCCAAATTATGAGCAGGGACCAAACAGGGTCCCTGAGAACTGGACAGTAGCAGGGAAGATGCAGAGAAAGGGAAATTTGGGAAAGCACACTGAGAAGGTGTTTGTAAATTCCTGGACTCACTCCTGACCTGTGCATATGTGGATCACTCTAAACCAAAGACATGGAGAATGGATGTAAGGGTTCTAGACCGGCCGTTGATTTGTAGGACAGCACACCTGCAGGACCATGGAGTCTGAACAACAAAATGGACACTGAAACCACAACCTACAGAAACCTGGTCAGAACTTAGAGCCAAACCCATCCAGGTTGAGTGCCTCCTAAAAAAAAAAAAATAGCAGTGCTATACACTGGACTCACACAAGACTGAGAGCCTAACATTCAAAATGATCAGGATACAATCCCAAATGCCTTGGCAAACAGAGAATCATAAAACCCTCAACTTGTCTTGGAAAAGACATTAACAAACATCAAGGCCAAGATGCCACAGAAGTTGGAATCACATGACAAGATTTTGTCCCCAGCATTTTGAGGATTAGTTGACAAAATGGTTAGATATTTAAAGTGTATGATGTGAGAATTTCATATACATGGCCTGGTAACTTTGAAGGATTTTATCTGCAATAAAAATGCTGTAAGAAGGGAAAATACCTTTGAAAGAAATGAAAAGATACCAAGTTTCAAAGAAATACAAGTTATAAAAAAGAAGCAAATGGAAATTTAGTACAGAAAAATACAAAACACAAAAACTGCACAGTCTCAATAGCAGAATGGAGATGCCAGAGGAAACAGTCAATAAACTGAAGTCAACAGAAATGATCTGATCTGAGAAACAGAGAGAAACACGTTAAACAACAAAAAATCAGAAAGTGGATGCGTAGGACAAAACCAAACGGTCTAACAGTCGAATTAACTGGAGTTCCAGAGGAAGAGGAAAAAGAATACAGTGCAGAAAAAATGCTAGTCAATGATAGCTAAAACTTTTCCAATCTGGCCAAAGATATACGACGACAAGTCAAAAGCCTAGTAAACCACAAACAGGACAAGCCTGGAGCAATCTACTCCCACACATATCATGACGAAGCGGGCAGGTAAAATCGAAAGACAAAGAAACTCTCCAAAACAACCAGAGAAAAATGATGTGTTATTTAAAAGGGAACGAGGATTTGAATGCCAGTACGATTCTCATCAGAAACCATGGAGGTCAGAAGGAAGTGAAATAGCAATTTTATAAAGTGCTCGAAGACAAGAAAGAAACTGAGAATTCTATATCCAGTTAAAAAAAAAAAACTCGTCAGAAATAAAGCTAGAATTAAGACATGTTCAGACAGAAACAAAGGTGCTGCCAGTAGAGGTGAGCTAAAAGAATTGCTGAAGGAAGGTCTTTAGCAAGAAGGGACCTCAGACTGGAGGGCGCAGCCTGGAAGCTTAGCAGTAAAGTCAGAACAAAAGGAATGGTAATTATCTGGCTAAATACCCT